TCCTTTCCTTTCCTTTCCTTTCCTTTCCTTTCCTTCATCCTCTCCTTTCCTTTCCTTTCCTTTCCTTTCCTTTCCTTTCCTTTCCTTTCCTTCATCCTTTCCTTTCCTTTCCTTTCCTTTCCTTTCCTTCATCCTTTCCTTTCCTTTCCTTTCCTTTCCTTTCCTTTCCTTTCCTTTCCTTCCTAAATGTAGACATTCAGGTGTTTAATAATAAGAAAAATGCTGCACAGATTCCTTTGAACGTGGGGAGTAATGAGGCTGCACCGGGTTATTCTGTCTCATAAAGACAACGCTGGTATTGAGCAGAAAACACAAACATTGCATAAATGTTATTGAAATTTTAGATTCCTTTAAAAGAATCCTGCACACGGTTAATCTGTTAAAGACATCGATGTTGCACAGATTTATTTGTAGGACTTCAGATGTTCCTTTAAATGTGGAAAAACACAATACTGAGTTGTTATATGTGTTTTAAAAAGTCAGATATTGCACAGATTCTTAAGAGGAAAAAAGTATTCTGACCGTTACACAGGTATTTTTAAAACCACAGTTTCTTTTGAATGTGACTAAATAACAGCACTGCTACAGGGTTGTCCTATAAGAAGGAAAACGCTGATGTAGCACAGATTCTTTGATACGTCGAGCTTCACATGTTGCTCTGAATGTGGAAAAATCACAATACTGGCTCATAAAGTCTCTTTAAAAACTCAGATATTGCGCAGACTTTTAGATTTTTCTATATGAATATAAAACTATATCCCCCAGAGTATTTTAAATTCAAAAACATGTTCACAAGGCCCAGGTTTAGAGTGAAATCTGACAGCTGGTGACGTCCTGCCGAGTTAAAATAGCTGCACACGGATCTCTTCGACTCTATATCGAGCTCAGGTCGGTGTCAAACTGATGGCCCAGAATTTAACACGTGCACTGACTTTTTTTTCTTTCTTTCCCCGAGTTAAAACTCAACCTTTTCCTCCAACCTTGACAGCATCTGCCTTTGTGTAACCGAACCTCCAGCGCTCTGTGCTCGGAGTCCATCACTCACTGTCAGCGTGACGCGCTATCATCCATCTCCCCTCTTCTTCTTCTTCTATCTGCATCCTTCCTCGGTATCGCTCCTCATCACTCTCCTCCTCCTCCTCGTCTCCCTCTCTGCTCAGGGCCTGAGGTCAGAGTGTGCTGTAGACTATTGATATCGTTACTATAAATATAGGATTCCTCCACCAGCCGGCTAAAAATAGAGTAAGGGACACGGACCACAGGAGACAAAGGAGGAGAGCGGGAGGGAGGGAGGTTAGCAGCTGTACTGGTGTTCATCAGGACTCAATCACTATGTTCAACTACCAGATCCAGGCCACGCTGTCTTTCCTGCTCATATGTCATGTTTAATACTATAAATGTGGAGCTCAGCCTGCAGCCTGCGTCCTCTCTGCTCTCCATCTCTTACGTTTATCGCACAGAATTCTGATTTTTACTTCACATTATTGTCCAAACATGCACATACTTCATGTTTAATACTGCAAACATGTCAAATGTGTGCAGTTTGCAGCCTTATTGCATCTTATTTCATATCTGATAGAACATTTCTGACACATGCACAGAACCAGAAGCTTTAAAATGCAGCTTTGAACTGAGGAATCAGGTCGTTTTTAGTCGTAGCTGTTACTGATGCTCATCTACACTCTGCTCATATTTCATGTTTAAACTGGTGAACTCTTGAGCTCCATCTGCAGCCTGTGTCCTCTCTGCTCTCCATCTCTTATATTTATTGCATATAATTGTGATTTTTACTTCAAAGTTCTTGCACAGTATCGTCCAAACATGTCGCAGAGCTAAAATGCAGCTTTTATCTGAGGAACCTGGTAGTTCAGTCAGAATGTTCAGTATCCAGGCCACATGTTCTGGTGTCTTTGCTGCTCAAACTTCATGCTTAATACTGCAAACATGTGAAATGTGTGCAGTTTGCAGCCTTATTGCATCTTATTTCATATCTGATATCTGATTCATATTAAACACTGTAAACTTGTTAAATCTGGAGTTCAGCCTGCGTCTCCAAATCAAACTGCACCTTTGCACACTTTCATTTATCGTGCCTTATTTCATATTTGCACCGGTATTGCACAGATTCTTTCCTTCTGTATAAGCTTAGAACACATCCCCAGAGTGTTTTAGATGTGCAGAATGTTCACATGTTTCAATGCATTGCACTGGAGTGAGACATGGAGCACAGCTGCAGAGGAAGGAGCTTTCAAATGCACAAACCAGGTAGATTTTTATTTACAGGTTTTATTGTGCAGGTTACTAAATGGTTCCACACATGACAGAGTAGCCGACAGATGCACACATGGAGAAATAATCATAAAAAATATGATAATAAAACCAAAAAATAGAGTTAAAATGACCCCAGAGCACTGTATAGTACCATGACAGACATGCAGACGGATACTTTATTCATCATTTTAGGAGCTTCAGGTAAATTCATCTCAACAGTTTTAAACAACTTTTGGCAAAAAACTGTAAAAATCAAAGTGTATTCATGTAGATGTTTGGATGAATCCACCAAACAGGAGCGTCTCCACCACATTAACAGCACTTGTGTGCATTTATTTTTTCTTTTCCATGTTTTCTACATTCTTTGCAGCTCAGCTCATCTTTTATTGAATCCATCCAGACACATGGGGACGTGTTGGGCACCAACAAAGTGCATTCTTCTGTTTTACATTCTTATTATCTGTCTTTAGATCCTCCAACTCGTTTCTTATTCTGGTCCATAGGTCGTCCTCGTGTGTCTCGGCTCATGTCCGACCTGCAGAACCAGAACCGCACCGCGCTGACACGTTGCTGTAAAAAGGCTGAATATGATGAGATGTTGTGGTTTGACATGAACTCCCCTCCTCCCCCCCTCCCTCCCTCCCTGCCTCCTCCCTCCCCGCCTCACCCCTCTCTCCCTCTCTCTCTCCCCCCTCCTGCTCCAGCTCCGGTATGTCTCTCCGGTA